GAAGTACTTCGTTATTTGAAGTGCCGTCACCACAGAGAGATTGATCATGCTTCTCAGATAGTACAAAGCATTTGTGTTGGTATGGCGAATTATCATAAATGCTTTAATCTCAGTAGAGGTCAGTAAGAAAGGTGTTATGTGCTTCCTGTAATATAACCGCCGTAATATACAACGAACTATTTCTTCTAGTTCAATGTTGAAGTACATGTTGTTCTACTCAAAATGTTTCACATTCTTACGCAACTTGCTCAAATTTCGCTTCCCAGTCAAAACCAAAACAGTACGTTGCCTAAGAGTATGTGAAGAAACCTTAGTTTGTAACATGTGCCTAGGGCGTAGTGAAACTGCTGCTTCAGAATTGCTATACTTGACCACCCACGTACCATTTTAATAAAAACCGCGGAAAAGTGATAAATATGTAAATTAACCTGGTAGGCTACGAAAACAACGAATCTATTAGAAAGCAGTGTGAATGGCGAGAAAACCTGAAAAACGATTTTGTAAGGCATTGGTATGTGTTAGTAAATATGTCCCGTTAGAAAAACGGTGAAGCCAGGTCGTATAAAAGGTCATGTGAGAGAAATCCATGAGTAAGGCACATTGGAAATGGTGTACACCCATGATAGCCAGCGCCTCTGCTACGCGCGTGGCTTATTTTCTCTTCTTCACCAACGAGTCAGATTAAAGCCGCGTGGGAGGAAGCAGTAATAGAGAAAGGGAAGTCGAATATTGTTCTCAATCGTCAGTCCTACCAAGGCGCTCAGATTTTTGTGTGTACATAATTAGTATTTACCTCGAGAAAAACAAATCAAAGTTCTGGCTGTCAGAGTTGCAGATACAGGCCTATCGTCATTTAGATTCCATCGGTCACTAATTAAGAAGGTAATCAGGAAGCGGAATAACGCAATCTAGACAGAGGATTTCACAGTTAGTTTTTTGTTTGTCCAATCCATGCTCAAGGTTGCATAGTGACAAGGTTTTTGTTCTGTCTAAACAACCTAAAGTGGAGACAGAACTGAATTTTAACCATGTCTGTTGATAGAAGTTGTTGAGCCCGGCACTAACTTCTTCCCTCCAAAGTAAGGAAGCCAGTAGTGTGTACTGTAAGTGACAAATCACTTGAAAGCTTTGAGCTAACTGGTCTCCACCGGAATGAATAACAACGCTATCCGTCTAGATGGATGGCCAGCCATCCCATTTTGGCGTGACTTTGGTCACTTGAAGAGGCAAAAAGCGAACTTGAAAATAGATGGTACAATTTGTCCAAATGTTGGTAAAATAATATCCTACATCTTTGGTACCGCATTTTATTACTAATCAATCTTTAATCTTTAATCAAATCACTATTTTAATTGGCATTAGTGACCGTTTCGGCACTAAGTGACAATGTGTTATGCCCGTGGCCGTCCCATTTGGACACATTTAGGGAGAATTTGGTCACCAACACACTCAGTTTGGTATTACGATTGCTATAATTCTACTTAAAAATTTGCACATCGATTTCCGCTTATTGTAATAGCACTTTCAGCTTGAAATATGCACTTATGTTATATGTTAAGATTGTGCTGCGAAAAGTTTCTGAGTGACCGAAATTCGTCCCAACTCTATCCAACTGGGACGAGCGGGGGCACAAAATATGCTCACTAATGGTACCCCAGCGATCAATCTAGCGCATAGCTTTTGGTCACTCGTGCCATTCGGAAAAGCCGGTAATTGAATACGGTACTATTGCCAACAATTGCAAACAACAAATGCACGAAACCACAATAAGCTGTGCTTCCGACACAGGGGTTTCAACAACAGCAACAATCAAAATGGTCGAGAAGTATTGCTTCAAGACACACGTGGGAATGAACTCGTCTCAGTGCATTATGACTTAAGACGGGCTTACACAGCATCAGTCAGGCAAAGAAGGCTACCGTGAGCGTGGGCGTCTGAGCATTTGCGTATTACACAAAATGCTGGCATTGTGTTGCAATTCTATATAAGATGGGGACAAAACAATAGGCCGCACGAACCAAATCTTTTTCATTTATGTGACCCCACTCGCGTTAACAGTGTAACATTGTCGGGTCACTCTGGCAGTGCTAGCTAATATCAACACAAAGGATAGATAATGAAACATTCTAGTACACCGATAACACATCAGTCTTTATTATGTGAAGCGACAATGAAGTCTGTTCTGTAGTTTGCAAAATAGGTCAATCGTTGCGAGTGAATGTAGGTCAACCACTTTCTGACAGTGCAAAATAAACATGTAGTTAATATCAGGACACGTAATCTGAAGTGAGAGCCATAGAAAAACTAAGATTAGTTGGGACAAAGAAAGGTGTTAGGTAAATGGCAGACGAAATCACATCCAAGGATCCATAAGCCGGACAGAGGTATCATAGGATAAGACTTTATGGATTTTTATACATTATCAATGTGCATATTTTACCTTCTACTCATCGTTACCTATCCCGCCTAATAAAAACGTGTCAGGATTTTAACTGAAGCTGAGGAGTAAAGTCATTTGTGTAATAAATGAAGTTCAGCCTTAAGGGCCAATACCGTTCTCGGTTAGGCTGCACTGATTGGTTCATCTCGATGTGAATTGGTTGGATGAAATACTTAATCGGTTCAAACATTGCTTGTATTGGCCGGAAACTGCATTACTCAGCACCGTGTATCGCGTAGTTTGTTACAACCTGAAAAAGCATCTTTTGCACAGTTGAGTGTCGACCGAGTTTCTTTAGGTTTTCTCTTGTCACGCTGGTACTCAGGCGGAGATAAACACTAGAGAAGAAGTCGTTTAGCTGTTTTTCAGTCGATTTGTTAGCCTTATTGGAATATTTGTCATCGCATTCCGCGTTCTGGGTTGATGCTTTTAGTGACATTTTTAAACTCCGTGACTTATGACGTTATCTATATATATCTACACTGACCGCGCTTTAATAAGCTGTAGCATGCTGAATCTTGTAACGGATCAAGAGCAGCCAATCCGTATATCGGATATGTGAATCTGTGCACATGTGCATCCACATACATCTGTTTAGAACGGTGGTGCACAAAGCTTGCCCAACTCAAGCTTGCAAGTTGATTTGATTCTGTATATCTTTATCAATATGGGTCTTTACGTACAGGTGTAGATATCCAGATTTCATCCAATGCAAATCTTAGTGCAGAGATCGTTTGAGTTACGCAATACCCTTTGGTTGTTGATCTGCCTGTTCACTACATGAATGTGCATCTTCACCTTTACTTGGCAGAAACAACAGAAAACTTGGAGATTTCTCAAATAGTGCCACTGGGTCTGCAGTTGGTATGAGTTACATAGTCTTTATTTGGTTCAAGAATGTTCCTTCTGAGTTGTCTCAACCGTCACCTTTGCACAATTCGATTTAACCCGACCTCAGTTAAAGCAAAAGGTGGAGAAATATATTCGGGAAGGTAGCTACATGGTATCCTATTCACCTGTCAGTTTGTCATGTGTACGATTGAACTAACTCCTTAAGGTAGCAAATCCAATGTCAACAAACTTAGTAGACATAATGCCCTGCGCAGACACTGCAGTTTTCCTACCAGTTCTCTTAATCACTTCTCAAACACCCGGCAATCGGCCACTCCCTAAGCTTACTGACTCGAAATTACTTACTCTTCTCCTCCTTAGCGTGCCTATCGGATCACCTTTGACTTGTTATACTGCCGCAAAATTATGCACTTTCATACCAACATTTGAACGACCAGTATAACACTACTTGGTCGGTGGTATACGGTTGATATTAGATGTAGTGCTTAGCAGTGTGACCATTAACCGACACAAGGAGAGCTCCTTTTTGCCACAATCCACTTGGTATTTCGAATGTTCTCCTAAAAGTGCCAGTCTGCTGCTCCGAGTAGATCTAGTATACTTATGGTTGATAATCCTGGAACTGGGAGAGTTTTCAAACATTTCGAATTGACAGGTACCGCAGGATAACGGAAATACAAGTAACGCAAATTGTGGGGTCTAATGATTGGATGTTAAGTTTAGACTAATTTGCCACGCACAGTTTTAAAGAACGCAACTTCTGCTGTTGGCGACAAGTCTGACATTAGCGTTTGCGCAAGGCATAATATATACTAAATTTATCGATGTTGGATTTACTACCTTAAAGCGTTAGTTCAATCTTACACATGACAAAGCTGGCGTGTGAATAGGGGACCATGTTGCTACCTTTCATAATATATTTGCTCCACCTTTTGGCGTAATTGAGCTCGGGCGGAAAAGTGACGCTTGAGACAAATCAGAAGGAACATGCTAGGATCAGGTAGAGACTATGTGACTCATTCCAAATGCGGACCCAGTGACACTATTTGAAAATGTTAGTCTTCTCTTATTCCTGTTTAGTAAAAGTTAAACTTGCGCATTCGTGTAGTGGAGAGGTAAATCAACAACCATTGGTTATTATGTGGCTTAAACAATCGCTTGGCATTAAGATTTTAATCAGGTGAAATCAGAATGTCTACGCCTTTGATTACGGTTGGTTTCCAACGCACCGTTTCGGTCTCCACTAGACAGCAGCAACTGAAGTCAACTGCGATGTATAACGGCAAGCAACTGCGTGGAATAAATTGATCTTGTAAGGGGACAGTCTACAGTAACAGTGGTATAATCGTGAAGAAAATATATTACTGTCTAACCAACGAAATATCTAGCCTTTGGTGCAGTTACAGGTTTAACTCAACCAACAGATAAAATCCATCGTTACTTATCTTCCGAGAGAAAGGAATAAAATAAAGGTTAAATGAAGGTGACGTCTGCTTTGTGTATACGTAAAGCAATGATACTTGAAACGTCTACCCAAAAGGTTTGAAATTCTGTGATAGGTAGAATATGACAATCATTTTAAAAACCGTTTTTCTAAAGACCGGTTAAGATGCACTTTTTAAACTAGTATGGTCTATTTTGAGTACTGAAATACAGCAACTTTCGCATGGTACATTTGCCATCCTTCCATCCTTCCATTGTGTCTAAACAGCTCACTGAACAGTCACTAAGGAGGCGAAGTTTAGTGGGAACACCTTACTGGATGTCACCCGAGGTGATAAGCCGCAAACCATACGGCACTTCTGTCGATGTCTGGTCAATGGGCGTTTTGCTCATTGAGATGGTGGATGGCGAACCCAGTTTCTTCAACGAACCGCCAATTCATGTAATGCGTCGAATTCAGTCGGACGCCGTGCCCCATTTGTGCAATCCTCACCACGTAAGTTTCCGTATCACTTTAGGGGGTATTTATTTGAGTTTGTTGTAAAGGGAAAATAACTCACTGAAATTATTACAGGCGCGCATTCCCATAGGTGCAGGGGACAACTGTGGCTCGTAAGGAGCTCGTTATCCCATTTAACAAGCTTGACTTAGTACACGTTTACTTGTAATTAGTCGTAAATTAGGCACTTATTCAATGGAACAATATTTTATGACGAGTAAAAATGAGTAGGATTAACAAGTCCCGTAGGTTGGTAGTGAAATGCATTGCAAACTCCAATACGAAATAACTGGATCAAATAAGATACGCATCGATGAACCGATGGAGTATTTGTGTAATAATAATAGGATTGTGGGGGCGATATGGTACCGCGCAAAACGGATTAACAAGTTGTTATATCTAAAGCTAATAGCAAATAACACTAGGATCATTCACTCGTCTGCACAGATTTGCATGCGTCACCGTGGGTTTTGGTTCCAAAGTAGCTAGTTAGCCTGAACATATCCTAAAACCTCCATTAATGTAACAAAATGTGGGGACTTCAATGCGGGGTCAGTACCCTTTTAAAATGGATAAGATGGGTACAAACAACTGAGTTTGTAGGATCGTTCCAGGCTTTGTCGACCAGAAGGGGAAAGTAAGTTCGTCGGAAATCTAGACGACTTTATTGTTGACCCATGTTCGGGTGATTGCTTCTCAGTTTGGCTCTCGGCCTTAATTTCAATAGATTGTGGCATACGTGACTGGGTCGCTCAATATTTGATATACTGAATTTTCCAGGTAGCGTCCACCGTACCATCAGATTATCTTTAGCCGTTCTTGATCAGGGAGGTTGTGCAAAAGCTCGTTGCTCTGCATTGAGGGATATCGATCGCTGCGAGTTAACGCTTTAGCCAAGGTTGCCATGCCTAGATAGCGTATTTGACGTGGGTTCGCACGTAGACATCGCATATTAGATGAAAATTGGATGAATCCATAGACTTGAGTGCCATTCGAAAGAGACTAACATGCTGATTACCACATTTTGAAGCGGACTCGGACTGCTCCGAAGTGAGGATTAGGTGTGTTTAAAGAGTGTGGCTGGAAATTCTAATGAGGTAAACATAACATGTTACAAGATTTGCACAACTAAACACCGAATGCATGAAGGCCACAGTGCAATAGCATTTCCCACTTGAGGATCGCCAGCAGAATGCATTCTGGTGAACAAACTTTTCGATATCGCTTCCAGGTGTAAGCGGTAAAGGACTGCGGCTAATGATTTAAATGTCCACTTATGGAAGACAAACCATTAAAACGGATGGTATACATAGTCGGGAACAATGAAAAAGAGCGCATAACCGTGTGCAACGCATGAATTGGAGATGCAGTTAACAATTTCATGCGCACTCATTTTTACAAGTTCTGACACAAAAACTCTTTTTACATAATTATCAGTTTAGTGATGCTTGGTATATATATTTAACGATGGCATAAGCTTGTGCTGCTGTTTTGTTGCCTTGACAGCTATTTGGGGTTGATTCGTTCTACATCAAACCCTCCGAGTGCAGCTGAAACAGGCAATGCGAAATCTGGGTTGGCATAGCCTTGTGCCACAGTTAGCTACACATGCTGCCTGCACGATTTACATTTGTCAGCCATCTGTCAAAATGAACGGCTATGCTTTCAACCTCCTGTTGGTGGTCCTTATGGAGTTACGCTAAGTGGCAAGCTCGTGCAGATGACATCATTGTTTCAGCCCAATGTTTATGAGCTCACTACACCTGCTTATAACTTCAGCCGCAGACCACCTAAATCATGCACTATCTAGCGCGTAAATGTTGGCTGTTGCATTTCCTTATTGAGAAGCATGTAGGAACGACGATATCGACCAAACCAAACATTTAGTGCGATAGCGATACGAAAGCCATAAAGTCCCAGTACATTGACTGTAAGCTCATACAAATAATTTACCTAATTAGATAGAGTACCTACAAGAACCGATAACAAGTGATCAAATGAGTACGAAACAATTTTGACAAGATTTCTAAATTCAGAATCTCTTAACTTGGAAGATCTTAATAAGCAAACAGCGATAAACTGGCTAGTCGTCTTCCGATCTGATGGACCAGTGGACGTTAAATTTCCACTGCGGTAGAATCTGCGCCAAATTGTGCTAATGGCATCAGCATCAGCAAAATGAACTGGCACGCTGTAAAACTCTCGTTGCTGCTGTACGTTAAGTTCGCCACTGAATTAGTCGCAATGAAACTTTATTGGAGCTGAGTGAAACTTACTGCATCGCTATCCAACACCAGGGTGTCGAATCTGAGAAATTAGGTGCAGCAACCTGCGATTTGCGTCTTGTTCAGCTACTGGTGTTTCTCGATTGACCGGCTTATCTACAGGCTTACAGCGAACCATCTTCCTTCCTTACATTCAAAGAGCATTTTCCGGTCTTACGGAAAATGGGAGCGAAATGGTATTACCGAAAGTACAAACCAATAACGGACATACAACATTTAGCTCGTTAATTCGGCTGCGAGTACACTCAACTGACACATTTGTTTTACTGAAATTTTATACAAGTTTTAAATGACTACATCATTTATGCTGCTGTCCACCCTACATCGTTCCGTAACCTTGCATGCCAGCAACCTTCGCGTGATTATTACCGAACCAGGTTGCTAACGAGTGTAATGGGTAGAACTACGATTCAAGCAATAATTCAGAAAGAAACCCTCACATTTACTGCCGGAAGCATCTATGTGGGAACATAAAAACCGCGGTTTACAACCAAGCTGCAGCACTACCTTACATTAGCCGCACGTTTGAATAAGCCTGATTCTGTTGCTCTCTGCTGGAAGGAGACGATGAATTCAGAGTAAGACACTAATATGTTCCCGAAGCATGTCAGTTAGAAGCATTGCAGTTTTGAACGGAGCGCATCTCATTGTCCACTGTGGCACAGCTTCACCGTTGGCAACAAGTCATGTCGCTATTTATCACCAAGTGTGGTGAAAAATTTTAGTACATATTAATTTTTCCTGCCTTATTCAACAGTTTAGTAGCATCTTCCTTTAACCCAGAAATCACTTTCACCTATTATACAGAGGAGTCTTCGAGAGCCGCACGTGACAGCTAAGTAAAGCTATGAAAGATCCCCAGCTTAAAATGCCTGCCGTACGCGAAGAGGTAACAAAAGAATGAAACCACCATGACTCCCTAAGATTTTGAACCTACTAGATGTCTAAATACTTTCTGGGTGATTTTTAAAGAACTGACGTAAGTACACTTAAATAACTTAAAAATATCTTTACCTGCCAGACTGTTTAATTATAGTACGGAAGCGGAGGTAGTGGAGGCATCATTTACAAATCTCCCACAGTGTTGATTATTTTGACTTACACAAATTACACTTTTTGCGGAAGCTCGTATGTTTATGTCAAATAAAAGATGGGTGTTTACCCATTTACCATTGTCTCTGTGTACGCATTTAGAATTAGTACTACTGATATAATTTCTTTTCCTAAAATACTGGCTTTGATAAGCTAGCATTTTGAGTGCCAACAAGGGAATACTTGAATACGGATTGAATTGTTGCCTATTCTTGGAGCGAATGTCACCCGCTTCATCTCACACGTGCAATGTCTTGACGGCTGGCCAGATCAGAACTAAAGCAACACATTTATTTCTCCTCTAGTGTTGAGGAGTTGGCTTCATTTGATGCAAATTATTTTTACGGAAAAAGGACGAGTTTGATATGTCCATACACTGAGCCACACATCTATCAATGCCTTCTCGTACCTTGTTTGTCTAGGTCAGTATCTAAGCTGACTGAGGTAATAGTATACAGCCTGCTTCGACATCCAAACTCTTCGATGTTTCGTTATCTTTGCATAATTGAGTAGGTGACCGTACGTCAGTGGTAAATCGGAGCTGACACTGTGAGAATCGGGTGTTTAGCGATGCAGCAGTAGATTGGTTACGGTATGCGTCTGCTAATTTTCATCTACACAAAAAGATGACGCCGGGTAACCTGCTACTTGTCAGAATGCAAGGACCACAAAGCTGGACCGCAATTAGAGGAAAGTAACTCCACACCGTGTGGCGCATCACATTCCAGTAAGATATTGAACTGTCAGTAAAAGCATGACCACGTTACAGTAACTAGGCATTCGTCCTAGACGTTGCAGTAGATGTCGGCGAACGATGTACTATTTGGCAAACGAAGCGTTCTGACACTGTCATCAGTAACAGGATGTTTGAAAATCAAATCAATATGTTAGCTGCCGGGAAAGTATGCCAATTTGATGCAGGGTAAATAATGACGACTACAGTGTCTACTAGCTATGGCACCACAATCACGTAGTCATCATCAAAGTCTAAACCTTATAATTTACATAACACGGCTGTGATTCACACAGTTGTCTAGGGGGAACAGATGTAGAACTTCGACAATATTAATGTATTTGTATTGTGATTATTCAGGAGATCTGCCGCATCACGAATAACGAAAAATAGTATATCTAACAACTCGATGGCTTTAAATTTAAACCACGGAGTCATAAACTCCATATCCCCTACTTCCATCCAGAAGGAAACAGCTCTTAATTTTATCGCGTCATTATCTTATCATATCTGTTCCATTTCAGTCATCCAAAAGACTCAATCTTTTCCTCCAACGCATGCTTGTGCGCGACCCAGCCTGCCGAGCGACTGCGGCACAGTTGCTAGTTGACCCATTTCTGGAATTGTGTGGACCTCCAGAATGCCTGCTGCCTTTACTTCAAGGAAACTGATTTCATGTATGTCAGTGCAAGAAATATCCTCAATTCGGACCCAGGCCCTCTATTCGAGTGCTGACTGTATACTAGTTTTTGCGCATTCCGTACAAGTTTTACGCATATCCGCATTGTACAAAAGCTGAAATATTTGGCAATCAGATTATCATCTCTTCTCTAGTGCACACATACTGCTGCGATCATAATTGTGCTTTAGAAAGAGAACTGTGACGCTTCAGATTAACTAACATTCAGAATACTGTACAGATAATGGTTTGCCATGTTTAATTCATGTTTCTTATTTGCTTTGAGTTAAAATCTCATTTAGCTCCACATCAGTTGATCAGTAGGAAATCAGCGACTGCTTCAATGACCGTCGTAGTGCCCCGCATTTTAGGGTCGCACATAGTTTTCCAGTGGTCACTAGGGAACATCGCTTTATGCAAAGATAGCACAAAAAAGAGTGTGCACGAATAAGACCTACCTTTGAACTCAGGTGTTAGGCATTCCAGTAACGGACATAGATACATGAATATTAATGTAGTTCAACGTTAAGCAATGCCTTTCTCCTCAAACAGTACAGAATCCCGACGGCGGTAACGTACCGATTAGGTAAACACCACTTGCTGTCGTGGTTCAATAGCAAATGCATTATTTTCACATGAAAGGCTGACTGAGGTTTTGTAGGACGAGCAAAAAGAGGTGTTCACTTTAAATTTGGTTTCATTCATTAAGATGACTGAGGTTTAGTTGCAAATAAAGTACTTGGTGCTTGCGATCCGAGACCATTAGGTGTATTGCTAAGACAACAGTGCGAATATGCAGTTTGGTAAATAACCGGTGCACGTAAAGTGGCTTGACACATAATCGCTACTGGAACTGCAGATGGATGACAAAACTTTCAGCAGATTGTGTGTAACTATTAATGGGGCATACAACGTGCACACGGTAGTGGGCGACAAAGTCTCTATCAGGTCCACTGCACAGTGATCTTGCGATTATCGTCGTTTAGATACAACTTGCACTTTGAAGCATTTCTTGTTACTCGAGCGGAAATATGTACACTTGTTTCATCCCAGTACTATTTAAGTTGGTTCATCGCAATTAAATTCCAAGCCGCATAGGTAAACTACCAATCCGGAAAAGCACTAGTCGCGCGTCTCGCCCTACTGAGGCTCGTCAGTGGTGCGCATCCATCAGTCCCCTACTGGGGACCGAATCCATGACTGCTAGAGGCTAACGCCAACTAGTCAGCAGCTTATGCCACTGAGCCATGGGGAGCGACATCAGACCGTTACGAATTGAAACCTAACTGCGATATAGCCCGACACATCCTCCACTGCCGTGCAAGTTATTGCCCGTGTAGAGGACAGTGGTTGGTCACGCTCAGGTTTTCCCTTGCCAGCGCCGTGAATCCACACAGCAGGTTTGAATACTAGTAGAGCGTAGATTTTTAATTACGAATGAGTAGACGGATTTCGGTATGATTCAAGTTGGTTCCCAGTATTACCATTCCATCTAACAGCGTATGGCCCACATCTCTTCATATAATCCCAAAAGTTATGAGGTCTAATATTTTATTCTTTTCTTTTGTGCCTTCAGCACTATTAGGACGCCGGTCGGTATCCGATTTTCTGCATCCTGGAGCTCAAAGCCGGTCTGCCGTTAAAGATAACTGACTTGGTTCGCGCATAAATCCAAGTTCTGGTTGCAGCGGTGGTCTTTGCTAAAACTGCCATGATCACCTCGGTCGCTTTATTTGCGTTTCAGCGCGTGCCATTTTGTCCTAAGAATACCACGAAAACTTACCAGCCCTTTGCCGACCAAGTCTGTCTTTTGTTTGACTTCGCCTACGCTTGTCTCGAAAACATCCTGATCGCGAGCACTTTGACAATGTGCGAACGATTTTAGACCGTTTATCCCAGAAATGGAGCGAAGATTAACGTAGAAAAATATGCGTTTCGTGTTGCTTCGTTTAGTCATTTTGCCCTTTAGGCGTCGTGACACTACAGTATATGATCAAATTCATCATAATCTACCTTGAGCCTTTGTGGCTATAATAGCTTAGAAGAGTTACGGCCTTGGAAACGTTTACTGACGTTTCCTACGTGGTTGTGCATCGTTTATGCATCCCACACAGACCCACTCCGAGAGAATTTCAAAATATTTTGATTTTTCCACTGCAACGCGCACGGTTTTCAACTCTTTAAAAGAGGTTATCGCCATCATGGTTTCGATGGAGCATTACTACCCAGCAGCCATACTGTCGCTAAGTAGTCACCCTTCAGACTTGACGGTAGTCGCTGTTTAATATCACTAATTAAGCAACTCATGACATCCGAGGGCATTTTAAGAATTTGCAACTAGTTGAATCTCGCTACAGCACGTTCAGGAGAGGACTATTAGCTATGTACTTAGCTATGCGTTACTTTCAACAAGTCTTATAATGCCATACGTTTGTCACCTACCCGACCACAGATCTTTGACTTACATGCCTGTGCTGACAACAGACTGATGCCCACTTAAATATGCACGTCAACCGTAAAATGTCGTTCAGTCTTCAACCATTAAAGGACGTCCATGGTGTGCATAATACCGCAATCGATGCACTCTCTTGAGTCCAAGCCATCTTCACCAACGGCGGCAATTCTATTACTTTACAGCCATGGCCGCGGCGCAACTTACTTAACCTTCAGTTGGTCGTTTAAGCAAGTCTTCAACACTATACGTGCATATCGCTCCGTTGACATCATCAGATGGAACCATTCGTTGCCAGATACCTGCGCACGCTACCATCACGTGAATTTTGGCAGCTAGTGTTCGACATGCCGCATGATCTGTCTCATTTAGGTGTTCGTTCCCCCGGTTAAACGAATACGTGCGTGTTTCTTTCACACAATGGCAGTCACGATCTTCGTAGATTGGCAGCTGCTTATCTTCTATATCAACATAAGTAGGCACAAAAGCACACATAAATGCTCAGTAGGCACTTTCTGATATCAGACCCAATTGTTCACTACCAGCACGCCGATGTAGTGGGTTTTCTGTCAAATTCGAAGGGCTTGACACGCCTGCGGTATTTTATCTAGAAATGCGACAGTTTGTCTAAGATTATTCCTATTTCAAACAAAGCTTGGAAGAAAGTAACAAAGGCGTTATGAGTTAGTGAGTGTTTTAGGTAGTCACCGCGTA